ACTCCCGGCACCTCTTCACATGCCCTGAGAATCCCACTCAGCTAACGCCCCTGTCCCTATGGACAGCCCCTGTGGAAGTCGCACACTTCCTGGGCCTCCCCTTAGCTGAAATAGACGACAACGATGATGAATGAACCGTCCCGAACGGGGCTTAGTAGCCGCTACAACAACAACAACATAGCAATACTTGGATCACGTTCATAAATACTGACCGTGTGACAGAGCCTAAATGACTATATCTGTTGTTGTTGTTTTTATAGGGTCGCTCAAAAGTTTCGATACCAAAATTACTTGGTATCGAACGAAAAGTATCGAGTATGTGCTTGTATTTACTCGTATCCTTTCATATCTATTCATTGACATGCCCTTTATTTATATGTTATCCAGTTAAATAAGTTAATAGTAAAAGCAAATATTTTTAAAGCAAGCATTGTAAATATAAACGAAATCGGGACATAAACTTTACTTCAGGAACTTTTAGTGGTTATTCGTTTTCATGTAATACGTTCTAAATATGAACCGATTCGTACTTTATATACGGGTTTTTCAAATATTTCAACTCCTGTGCCACATATCGGTTTAACTTATCTTTCTTATTGCATTGTCATTGGGTTTTGAGTCAACTGTGAAATTTCAAGTCACTAGGTCATTAGGAGGTAGGTCAAAAATTGACTGCAAGATTTGCCCCTAACAAACATACATACATACAAACATACAGAGCAAGTTAAATAAAAGCTTGTAAAAATATGGGGAATTCACGGTCATCACGAAGCCCTTCTAAGCGTCATCACCATAAAAGCAAACACAAAAAACATGGCAGACAACGCGATGTTCGCAAAAGTTCTGTTCTTGATGAACGAAATGAACGCCAATCCCGAAGCAATAATTTTGTGAAAAAAAAAAAAAAATCTTGTGGCTCAACTGGTCCTAGTGAGTTTCAAAGTGATGACCGCGGATCTAGGTATACAAAGAATATGTTGTACCTATACCATTTTCTAATTACATATAATTCAACTTTTTTTTGCTTATCTTAGGAAACATTCCCCTACTGTTAACAGTTCTAGTGATAGTCAGCAATCTAATGACTGCAACGATCTTGATAAAAATCTTAAACGTCGCAAACAAATTGATGCTGTTCGAGCTGCAGATGTTTTCATCCAACGTCGCCAGCAACAGAAGGAACAGCAGGTGAGTTTTCATATTGCGAAGTGTAAAACAAGTCTAGGAACAAGGGAACAAATGCAGTTGGGCTCCAAATATAAAAACAAAAATAAAAAATTGGAATCGATAGAGATGATTGAGCTCAGTATAACGGTATACTCCTTTTTTTGGGCAAACAACAAAAACAAAAATTATCAAAGGTTAAAGTTCAAAATAAGCAATTTTTGAGATCAATATTTCTTAAAAACGAATGGATGGATCTTGAAAATTTTGATCTCATTTGATAGGAAATTTGATTCCCTTTAATTTGGATACGTACTCTATAAATATGTTGAATAGTTCTTACACTCTATACTCTATATACACATATGTTGGATAGTTCTTACAAAAATTGAATTAATGTTAAATAATTATAAAAAAAACGCCTTTTGCAGAGAAAACCTTTCTGCGTAGGCGGCCTTCGGCCGCACTTAGGGATTATAACCTCACAAAGTAGAATTCTCTTTCTGTTTTGCGAAGAAAAGGCACTGAACACCTTTGGCAGAGAACACACCTTTCTGCGTAGGCGGCCTTCGGCCGCACTTAGGGATTATAACCCTCACAACGTAGAATTATCTTTCTGTGTTGCGAAGAAAAAGCACTGAACACCTTTTGCAGAGAACACCTTTCTGCATAGTCGGCCTGCGGCCGCACTTAGGGATTATAACCCTCACAACGTAGAATTATCTTTCTGTGTTGCGAAGAAAAGGCACTGAACACCTTTTGCAGAGAGCACCTTTCTGCGAAGGCGGCGTCGGCCGCACTTAGAGTTTGTAAGCTTTTTTATAATTATTTTACATTAATTCAATTTTTGTAAGAACTATACAACATGTATACCACAAAGTATAAAGTACGTATACCAAATTAAAGGGAATCAAATTTCCTATTAAGTGAGATCAAAATTTTCAAAATCCATTCATTCGTTTTTGTGAAATCTTGATTTCAAAAATTGCTTATTTTGAACTTTAACCTTTGATAATTATTGTTGTTGTTTTCCCAAAAAAAGAAGTATATTATACTCAACTCAATCATCTCTATCGATTCCAATAAATTTTTTCTTAATTTGAGATTTGGAGCCCAACTGCATTTATGCCGGAACAAGTGCAGTTAAGGTAGAAAAACGAAAAAATTGGCGGCGTGGGCTTTAGTAGTCAGCCTCACCTTGTGTTTTAAAAAAACCAGGTGGAATTAACAAATACAACTTTGTCAGGATGTTAAAGAAGGTATCCTCTAAAACATGTTAACTAAAAAATATAAACAATATTTTATAAGTTTCTGTTGTTAAAATTTCTTAAGTCGTTCCACTTGGTTTCCTTAACAAAAAGTGCACTTGTCACATACTTTCATATATATAAATGCACATAACACTGTACTTAATACTTTACACATTTTTATTTTATTTTATCTTGTACAAGCTTTTACCCCCGGGGTTCACCCCACGTCCTTAAAATAACTCATTTATATAAACCTTAACTTAAGCATCTACCATAGATATGACTTCATATAAAATTTCAAATTCATGCGATGTATTTTTCCGAAGTTCTAGCTGAAACAAAATTCCACGCCTATGGGAGGTACCACCCCCCTTTTACAAACTCATTTATATAAACCATAAGCGCCTACCATAGATAGATAATTAATAGAGGTATGCACTGCGACCAACAGGTCTATTGTGCCCTCAACCGTTTACAGTACCTCATCTAATCCTAGAGAGCCCAAAAATTTGAGGAGATCCCCAGGGATTAGCGATTGTATTGCTTCGTCACTTGGCCAGTAGTGGCCCAGGTACCTCTCCCGTTTTCTCGCGACCGCCTCGCATTCGCTAAGCACGTGCACGGGCGTCTCCTCAGTCACGTTGCAGAAACGACATAGGTCGTTTGACCAGATCCCTAGTGCTTGTGTAGGTGGCCTGCAGTGGGTCTGCAGTGACCCGTCAGAAAACCTGTTATAATCCTTAGTTTTCCTTTGGATAGATTGATAATTGCCCTGTACCTCGTAAGGTTGTAGCCTCCCAGTAGGTGTTTTGCTTGACGTACACCTGTAGTGTTACGCCAGTGTTGATTCCTTAGTCTGTTCCTTTCTTTCCTCAGCTCTTCCTTGATTGTGCTAGGTCCAATCGCTAGGAAGGGCTCAGGCCCTATAGGCGACGAGGCGGCTGCCATTCTATCTAGTCGGTCCGCTTCCTCGTTGCCCGCAACTCCTATGTGCCCTGGTACCCAAGTTAATTGGATTTCGTTGTGCTCCGCCAGACTGTTGAGCCTATCGATGCACTCAAGAACCAAGGACGACTTGACCTCAAATGATGAGAGGGCCTTGAGTGCCGCCTGGCTGTCGCTCAATATTGAAATTCTCTCGTTACGGTAATTCCTACGTAGGTTAATCTCTGCACACAGACTGATGGCATAGACCTCCGCCTGGAAGATACTCGGGTATGTCCCCATGGGTACCGAGAGCTGTAGCCTCGGCCCATAGACGCCAGCCCCAATGCCTTCCGGAGTCTTCGAGCCGTCTGTGTACCATTGCAACGTGCTCGATTGGATCAGCCTCTCCATGAGAGAGGTGCTCCAAGTCGACTTGGGGCAAAGCTCTATTTTGAAATTCCTATCAAAGTTAACCGCCTTAGGCCTGTCATCTCTGGGGAGTAAAGCTAACGGAACTTAGGAGCCTAGCTTGTCTCTGTTCCTTAATGATAGGGTTTTGCCTCTGCCAAAGCCTTCTCTCGCGAAATTTAGTATAGTTCGCTTTGCAGCCTGTTCTATGGTAAGGTGCAGCGGCTCGAGCTCGAGAATCACCTCCAGCGCTGCCGTCGGACATGTGCGCATTGCCCCCGTGATGCATACACATGCCAGACGTTGCAGCTTGGTGAGGAATTGCCTCACCGTGGTGAGAATGGTTCCCGAGACCCAAGCCACTGCTGCATAGGAGACTATTGGTCTAACTATCATGGTATACATCTATCGCAGGATCTTGGGACTACAACCCCAGGTCTTCCCTGCCAGGCGTTTGCATACCATTACTGCCGTCGTAGCTTAGGAAGTGACCGCGCCAACATGTGCCTTCCACAGAAGTTTAGAGTCCAGTGTTAGTCCCAGGTATTTAACTTCGGTGGCGGCGTTGATGGCGACCCCATTCCAAGAATGTTCCTCATGCCTGGAAGCGTTCTTCTTCTTGAAAAAGGGACAATAACCGTTTTAGAGGGGTTGATGCTGAGGCCCATGTCCACGCACCAGCCTCTTGCCAGGTTTAGCGCCCTCTGCACTATATCACAGAGAGTGCTCACGAACTTTCCTATGGCGATAATCACAATGGCAGCGGATGCCATTGTCCGTGAAAATCCGTAGGAGTTCGTCCACAACTAAGCTCCACAGGAGAGGGGATAAGACCCCTCCCTGCGGGCAACCTTTTGTAGTTTTTTGCTGTACCACGCTGTCCCCGATGTCGGTTGCAGCGATTCTTGAATTTAGTAGCCTAGCTATCCACCTGTGGATCGTTGCCTGCACAGTGCGTCTCTCAAGTGCCCGGTCGACACTAATATGAGAGGTGTTGTCAAACGCCCCCTCGATGTCGATGAAGGCACAGAGTACTATCTCCCCACACTCAAGAGCACTTTGTATTTCCGTGGACAGGGCGTATAGTGCAGTGTCCGTCGACCTGCCCACTCAGTAGGCATGTTGGTCGGGGTGCAAAGGCGCTGCATTAAGGGTGTTGTTCCTAATTTCATGGTCGATGGCCTTCTCCATTGCTTTAAGCAGAAAGGAGGTAAGCCTTATCGGCCTGAAGGACTTAGCTAGAGAATAATATCTCTTTCCTATCTTCGGGATAAAAATAACCCGAGCCCTTTGCCACACCTCAGGGATTTGAGCGAACGCTAGGCTAGGCCTGGTCCGTCGGCACGGTGCCTCCCCCGAAGTGGGAGTGGCATCTGGGAAATGGGCCGAAAGCAGGGCAAGTGCCCTTTCCCCTTCGTTGCCTGAGTAGGTGCCATTGGCTAGCTGGATTGCTAGTCTGGTATCTGTATGGTCCCTTGCCAAGGCCTTGTGCAGCCTGGCGGCTGAAGGACTCGATGAGATGCCCTCACAGAACTTCCTGAAACTGTCGCGTTTAGCCTTCCTGATTTCTTTACTGTAATTAGTTAGGCTTGCTGAGTACTCAGCCCAGCACCCTGTGCGCTTTGCTCTATTGAATAGTTTGCGTACCTCCTTTCTGAGCACCGATATCTTCCGAGACCACCAGTTTGGCTGCGCCTTCCCTCCTGGTTTTGTCTCCGGGCAGCTTGAGTGAAAGGCATCTACAATAGCGCCATTTAACTCATTGACGGTGCTCTCTAGGCTCATGCAGTTAGTGTACCTACTCCTGGACTTAATTCCAGTTAGGTTTGACTCTAAAGTCTCGCTGTACTTTGCCCAGTCAGCTTTCCTGGTGTTCCTGTTTGCCTGCCTTGTTTTGACTTCTACTCTTAGTGCAAACTGGATAATCCTATGGTCTGACAGTGAGGGCTCCGTTGAGACCCCCCACTGGGTGACCAGAGGACTAGCCAGTCTGTTGCTAAGCGTGATGTCTAGTACCTCCTCTCTAGCCCTCGTTACAAAAGTCGGTGTTTGGCCAACATTGTGGATGCTTAGTTCCTCACTTAAAATGTACTCTAGGAGACACTCACCTCTGCGGTTCGTATCCGTGCTGCCCCACTCAACGTTGTAGATAGGCCGCGGCAAACACCACCTCTAGGCTTCTGCCACTTAACGAGGGCGTCGTCTGCACTGCGACCAAGTCCTGTGTTAGAAACTCTGTAATGCAAAAGTAATCAATGTTCCTCTTAAGCACTACACATGCTCTGGGCCTCTCGCAGGAGAGGTCCCAAATTACCTTGTTGTTGTTGTGGTTGAGGCCCTTAACCTGGCCTCTGTGGGTCCACGGCTCTTGGATCAGTAGAATGCCCAGGTCATCCGTGGCGAACCTGCTGGAGATGACCGCCGAAGCAGCCACCTCAT